GCATCGTGCTCTGGGGTGATGGATACGATGGAGAGTTTGTTTTGATGTTTGACCAAGCTGTGCACTGCAAAAAAAAAGAAAAAAAGAAAGAAAAAAAAGTATACATAAAGAGTATTTTTAAAAAGGTATTTTTATTTAAAACCAGAAACATGCACACAAATCAAAATTATATTTATTTTAATGAATTTAAATTCATATATATGAATTAATTTATTGATTACATTGTACCTTTTGTTTGTTATACATTTTTTAAAATATTTTGTGCATATTTTTCTATTCTTTTTTATGGATAAATATTTTTTATATAAAAAAATACTACATATACACAAATTAGTGTATATTAAATGTATTCATTTGTAATATTTATTTTTATTAAATTTTTAATATATAATTATTTATTTATTTATTTATTTATTTGGATTAATTTATTTGCAATATTTATTTACTTGTAATGTTTATTATTTTTTATTTATTTGTAATATTTAATTATTTATTTGTAATATTTATTTATTTGTAATATTTGTTTATTTAATCAAACGGAGCACCCAGAGGAAACCCACGCGAATGCAGTGAGAACATGCAAACTCCACACAGAAACGTCGAGGATCGAATTAGCAACCAAGCGACCGTCTTGCTGTGAGGCGACAACAATACCTACTGCGCCACTCCGTCGCCAGATTTATTTAACTGTAATATATATTCATTTGTAATATTAATAATTTTTTATATTTTTATTTATTTGATTAATTGTAATATAATATTTAATAAATTTTTGTATTTATTTATTTGTATTATTTATGTATTTGTAGTATTTATTTTATTGTAATTTGTTTATTTGTAATATTAATTAATTTATTTGTATTACTTATTTGTTGTATTTAATTAATTAATTAATTAATTTATTTATTTATTTTGTAATTCAGCATTGATACATTAAATCAATCACTAAAAACTAAATATTTATTTTGAACTTTCTAGGCACCATTGCTGGCAATATTTTTATGTCATGTTTAACTATGAACTTATCAACTTATTAGATCCAATGCAATAGAATATGTATTATTTCAGTGCATTCAAATTATTTAATTTTCATATCAAAATTATCTGATATAAAACAGCAAATAATTTTCACCATTGCAGCGATCAATCTTGTATTAAAATAGATTAATTATACTATCTCACAATAAATATATGTATGTTTTTACAAATTTTCCATCTAATAAATGCACTTCCTGCAAAAGCATTAAAAGAAACTTACAAACAACTGTGTATATGTATATACAGTAGTCTACTGTATAAATGAATTTATTTTGCACTAGTGCAAAAACTTTGAGACTTTAAGTATGAATTTTATCTTCCATTGTTCTTTGAATAATTTCTCAGTATTTCTGGGACAGAGTTATATATGCCTTTGAATCTCCCATTATTTTAAAATGACAAGAACTGTAACCAATGCACGATCCATGTATAAAACTTCACATATTCTCCATTATACATTGACATTAAATGGATGTACAGCTAATTTACATGCCTCTCTGGTCAATGGAAGATCCATCACGTCTATTTAATAAGTAAAATTCTTCTTTCAGTGGGCAATTATCAGTACCCTTTTCATAAGTCATTTCCGATGTTTAAAACAAATGACAGTTAATAACATTCACCATGTGCAAAACCTGTTCAAGTCTGACTCTAATACATAAGACATTTGTAAACCACACATCCATTTTAATCTCTAATTTTTTTATCGTGAAGCATTTATTTTTCGATCCTCACAGTGGGATTTTTCACACTTTTCATGTCACCTGTCCATTAAAAGGAGTATCATTTCCCACAGCTTCATAATTGCAATGGCCTGGTTACCTTTCCTTTGTCTGATGCCTGTTGAGTGATGCCATGCTGACTTGGTATCCGGTGCTGCTGTGGTTTTTTATTGATGTCAAAACATTTTTCGATACCTGTATTATGTAACAGCCTGTTTTACTGGTTTTTGCCTACAAGTACCTGCCCAGTCTCTTCTCTCTACAGCTGATATATTGATGTAAAACTTGTTTGCATGAATGTTTTCATCAGCCTCTTTAAACATTAGGAGAAACTTAAAGATTTATACACTTAAAGAGACAGTTCACCCAAAAATGACAGTTTGTGCTAACATATTCATGCAAGATTTAGGTGACTTTTATTTGTCTTAGCTAAATAAAGATTTTTTTTTTTGTAAAATGTGGTTGTTAGCTATTCATAAAATGCAAGTTAGCAGTTGCTGATGCTTCAAGAGTAAACAAAACAAACATATGTGAAAACAAAAATAATAGCCTTGGCTCCTCATGATATATTGAGTAAAACCACCAGTACAAGAAATCCAACTTTATTTACAGCATTAAGTTTTATTCACAGCGTTTGCAAACAAGCTTAATCACTGTCATGACTGTCTGAAAAAAAACAACATTTGGTTTATTCAGCAGGTTACTTTTATTCAAAGTAAATCTATTTTACATATTATCAGTTCCTCCAGGATTTTGCAGGCAAATTTAAGTCCAAATGAACTGTTTTTTATAATGCTTTTTCCAAAACAAATATGGCATTGTTCGTTTGATTATTGTGTTTTGCTGTGAAAATACACATTAATTTTTAAAATCCGATAAACCGATTGACTCGCAAAATACTAAAGCAACTCTTCTATTTAATATAAACAACATTTGAAAACCGGTGGATTACAGAACATCTGACTATGTTCAATTTTAAATTATTTTCTTTCTTTGCGTGACACATTGACTTTACAGAATGGGTCTTTTGGGATTCTGAGTTTTATAATGCATTCATTCATGTATCCTTCACCAAAAAAAAAAAAAAGCGCTATTTAAGGCAACATTGAAAGTCTTTTATTTTTTCTCTTTTTAGGTATTGTTAAACACATTTGCAATAAAAGCAATTACTACATAAAAACCTTTATATAACACTGTAATTTCTGTTTGCCTGAGCAAATCATTTTCTATATTAGTAGTTATAAGTCATCGTTTAGTAGTGGATCAATATTAGTTGTCCTTGTAGTGATGAAATAACCAGAAATTAACATTTTCATACAGTATATTGTAATTTAAGGGTGTAAAAATGAAGGTTTCAAATTGTAATTTTCGGTAGAGTCCATAGAAAGTTCTTTAAAATAGAGGTTCCTTATTGAAATTTGGCATTTTGTGATCATTTTTTATTGAACATTTGGAAATAATCTAGCATACATTGTTATAGACAAGGATAGCAACCAACTGCATTTTCTATTAATACCCCACCGCACCCACCCCTGGCGAAAATAATAAACATTTGAACAACCAAAGGAATCAAATCAGATCAAAAACAAGAAGAGAGAGAAAAATAATTATTATTATTACAATACATATAAATAAATAACTATAGTAAATAAATCAATACATTTACTTCTGCATTTAAATCCTTACAAGCAAACTTTTAACAAAGGTAGAAACATTGACCTTTTACACATATGTAAAAAATGCAAAGAAATTAATTACAATAGCATATCTTTTATCTCAGTAATTGCACACATCCATGAAGTAATGATTTTTGTAAAAGCACCTTCCATCCTTGCCACAGACAGTTCTATATTTGCTATGTCCAAAAACATATATATCCAGTTTTTCCGGTCCAGGGATTGTGGAGGATGCCAATATAATGTTTTTAACACATTTCTGAACATAATAGTTTTAATAACTCATTTCTAATAACTGATTTATTTTATCTTTGCCATGATGACAGTAAATAATATTTGACTAGATATTTTTCAAGACACTTTTATACAGCTTAAAGTGACATTTAAAGGCTTAACTAGGTTTATTAGCTTAGCTAGGCAGGTTAGAGTAATTAGGCAAGTTATTGTATAATGATGGTTTGTTCTGTAGACAATCGGAAAAAAAGATTAACTTAAAGGGGCTAATAATTTTGTGAAATTAAAATGGTGTTTAAAAAATTAATAACTTATTTTATTCTAGCTGAAATAAAACAAATAAGACTTTCTCCAGAAGAAAAAATATTATCAGACAAACTTTGAAAATTTCCTTGCCCTGTTAAACATAATTTGGGAAATATTTAAAAAAGATAAAAAAATCAAAGGGGGGCTAATAATTTTGACTTCAACTGTACAGTATATGTGTGTGTGTGTGTGTGTGTGTGTGTGTGTGTGTGTGTGTGTGTGTGTGTGTGTGTGTGTGTGTGTGTGTGTGTGTGTGTGTGTGTGTGTGTGTGTGTGTGTGTGTGTGAAGAGTTCAGATGCAAAAACGTCTAAATGCCATTTGACATTTTTTCCTAAAATGAGGATTTTTACCAGCCTCCCATGTTTATGTTCAAGTATTTCACTTTCGATGCACTGAAAAGAACCTATTCATCACTATAAAAGTAAAATTTCTGAGTCTACACAACAGAGTCAGAAACCAATGCTATTTTAGAAAAAAATATCAAAGGGCATTTAGAGGTTTTTGCATTTAATCTCTTCAAACAATATGATGTATGATAATCTATTTTGTTATTATGATTTGATTTGATTTTTAGGTGTGAATTTTTAACATTCTCAAGGGTTTTTTGATGACAAAATACCATTCTTGGCTATTTCTGACAGATTTTACAGTAATGTTTATTAATGTTAATTGCCCCTGTAAACAAATAAACTAAACTAAAAACTTAACAAACAGAAATATATTTGAATAATTTAACAAAACTTTATTTCACTATACAAACTAAAATGCTTTGTGGATGTTAAAGGTTTTCAAACTTCATTTTTAAGGGTGTAAAAGAAGCAGTGCTGTGCTTTGTCATGCTGTGAGTCTGGAGGCGATTGAAGAAAGGAGGGGGGGAATGTGACTGTACAGGCATTTCTGTTCAAGTGCAAAGACTTTGCAATGTTGGGGGGTGGGGGGGAGAAGAGCCCCTGAGCATTGTAGCGTCCTACTGTACATGCACTCTCAGCACTGCCGCTCTAAGTGGAGCTCCGCTGTTTGCAGGACGCAAAATCTGCAGTGGAGGAGAGTCGATCCCTGCGGACGCGGATTCATCTGGCAGAGGCTGCACAGAAACAGGCCCGGGGAATGGAGATGGACTACGAAGAGGTCATCCACCTCCTGGAGGCTGAGATAGCTGAGATGAAGTCTCTAAAAACTGAACAACCCAGTCAGGAAAAGGTACTTCACTTTAAGAGTCCTTACAATAACATTATGCTGTCAATGTCAATCCACATCCCCCTTCTCAAATCCACTCCGGGTTTTTCCTCTCACCTGTTCTATCAAAAGTAGGTCACTGTTTGCTTTGTATTATTCAGTGACTGGGCTGATGTGCTGTGAAGGCTTTAACATGATCTTGCAGGGTGACGTGGGCTGATGAGGTTATTTTTGAAATCTCTGGCTAGCAACCTTGCGTGTCTCTAGGATAAACTTGTATTTTCACACCAATTTGCTTTTCTTTTTTCCTTTTTTAGTTTTTGTTGCAAAAAATAATCAAATGTGATGTGAAAAATATGAAAAAAATATTCATTTTATTCAATATTATTTTTTAGGTAAGTGGTTGCAAACTATTTATTTGGGCTGAATTTAAACAAGGTATTTATGTTGAAAGTTACTAAATTTAATTTGTTTAAATCCAGTCCTTATAAATGGTTTGCAACCACTTATTTAAAAAAAAAATGAGGTAAATCCAATGAATCATTATTTTCAGTGTATATATTCTAACAATAACCTAAATAAAACTGCTCTGACAATGCTGTTTTCAAAGTTTGATTTTCTTACATTATTATTTTACATTTGTAATGGCATATTTATACACTCAAAAAAAAATTGTTGAATCAACATGATTTAATCGTGGCACCCTTTATGCATCTAATCCAATCAAGTAAACCTGAGCTGCTTTGAACATGTTGTATGAACACAAAGCACATTTGTAGATAAAACATAGTTTTAATATGTCAGTCTAACTTCTTTGCAACTAATTGACTCAAAAGGTTTGTATTGTGTTATTCTAATTAAAATGATTCTAATTTACTCAATGTAACACTAAAGCTT